TATAAATAAAAAAAAAAGGAAACCTTGCTAGAAGTTTCCCGTGATATATAAAAAAAAAAAAAAATAAAGAAAAAAAATATATCCAAGCTTAAGCCTTCGAACGTTGTGGATGGGAAAGTTTATACATTTTTAAAAGGCACTTCGATCGACGTCAATGAAAAGAAAGGCCACCACCACCACCACCACTGTCGCGTAAAGGGGGTAGTTGTGTCGCGTCGATAATTTTGCGAGGAACGATTTAATACACGACCATTGGGGGAGGGAGGGAGGGAGACAGGACGGCAACGGGGGTGGTTTATACACGTTTTATTCGAGCTTTTTTTCGTATGTAACTTTTTCAAGGGAAAAATAGAAAATAGAGAAAGAATAATTTCGTTGACAGATAATATATAATTCGTCAAACCAAAAATTCTAGTGATATTAATTCGGTGGAATATTTGATTAAGTATTTTTTTTTTTTTTGGAATTCTACCTTTATATTTATCCCTGTGTACACCCTTAGGGTACGTTCAATCCATTTTTCTACGATACTACCAATTTCCACACACACATATACAAACATACAGACAGACAATTGAAATGGGGAATAATTTCAACGAAAGAAATAATAATAATAATAATAATCATTAATTTTCCTCATTAATTCGAATACATATATATATTATTCAGTAAATAAATAAATCTATTAGATTCCATACGTGTGTGGATAATAAATAAATGATTAGTGTTATTATACGGGTAAAAAGAAATAATGTTATACTCAGAAAACGAGTTAGCTAGGCAGCAGCAGCAAGGACGCAGCAAGCAAGCATCGATTCTGACCCAACTATCTACGCCCCACCCTTGAACCTAACACCAGGACTCTCCCCGTTTCAGAGGGAGGCCACCCCTTCGCGAAAAAGCACCGATTCTAAATGACTTTTTATACGTTTAACTTCTTTTTCCTTAAAATATTCTTTTCCTAAAATAATTATATATATATTATATTAATAATAATATAAAATAACAAAATGGGTGGGTGGGTGACTGGTTGGGGGGTGTGTATGAAAAAAAGAAAACTTTATCAATATATATAAATAATATTTTTAAGAAAATAAGAAAACGAATTAATAAAACAAACCACATACATGAAATAATAGTATTAAATAAAAATATTATAAATTTCAGATTTGATGGGAAAGAATGGAATGAATGATTGTCATAAATTTGTTTTATATTAAATATTTCCAAAATTCATTAATATTTTGTTACAGCAACTTGAGCAAAACGATGACGACGAGTATCTCAACTCCCCCTGGGCCGACGGCAGCAGTCTGAAGCGTCATTTCCATGGTATGAGTAACATCTCATGGAGACCGCATTAAAAAAAAAGAAGAAATGAAAGAAAAAAACACCATCAACCATACACATCTCCTTCTTCTCCGTATTCGCCGAAAAATAAAAAAGAAAAACGAACGTACGTCCATAGAAATGGAAAATAATAACACGAGAGAGAGAAAGAGAGAGAGAGAGAGAGAGATATATATATATGAGACACGTTTAGAGATGGTGTTACAGTGTTATATATATATATATATAAATATTTGAAAAATTTGCTAACCGTGAAGAGCCAAAAATCCTTTTACCGTTTCGAATAAAGCTTATAAGCGCCGCGTCCTTTTTAATTAAAGAGTGAACCAGAGATAATAAAAAAAAAAAAAAGGAAAAATTAAATGGATAATTAATAAAATAATTATGAGAGGGAATGTGAAATACATGGCCGTCCCTCAAACACCTCAAAACATAATATAATAGTATATATTATAATATATACATACACACACACATACACGCATACATATACATATATATATATGTATATATTTGTATGTATAAATATATAAAATATTTAATTGATGATTATTTCGCTTCGTCGTCCACATATGCCGATTGGTCGATGATAAAAATGAAGAAAATGAATGGAGAAAAACTGAAAAATGAAATCATAAAAATCGACCATCGGTGTGTTTTCGTGCAAATGCCGATCATCAATTCGATGAATTATAAATCTGCCGTATATGTATATATATATGCAATATATAATTGATCTTTGTTTTAAAGAAAAAAAAAAAAAAAGAAAAAAAATAGGGAGAAAGAAGAAGAAGAAGAAAAAAAAAAAGGGATTTACGCTAACTTTATCGACAGAGACAAACGATATTTTGTGAAAAACATTTTTCTACTCGATAACCGCCATGAAGTGTAAGAAAAGAAAAGGAAAGAAAACGAAAATGAAAAAGAAAAAAAAAAAGTCGCCGCTTCCCTTCCTCTTGCCTCTCGCGCCAATCTTTTTTGCGTGACAAAAGTTGAAATAATATTCAATTTAAAAATAATATAATATAATATAATATAATATAATATAATTAATAATAATATTACAATAAATAATAATAATATAAAATATGAGACAAAATGATGGGGGTTGGAAAAAAAAAAAAAAAAAAAAAAGAAATTTTCAAAACAACGTAAATTTCGTCCGTAGCCATTTTTATCGTCATCGTCGTCATCATCGTTTATTATTATTTATCATTTTGATATAAATAATATATATTGAAAAGAAATAATATATTATATTATTATTATATTATTATTATTATTATTATCGGCAGTTTTGTTTTTTTATTTTCTTTTTTTTGTTGCTAAATTCGAGAACCCGGTCGAGCACGCGAAACTTTTTTTGAATGCAACAATGTTAACCCTTTTTATTTTTTAATAATAATCATTTCTTTTCTTTATTAATTTTTTTTTCGATGACGACTATGAAAAATGTGACTGTACAAAATAATAGAAAAAGAAGAAGAGAGAGAGTGAATCAATAAGAAATAATAATTGATAATGCACCACAGATCTTGCGTTAAAATTCTCATCATCATCATCATGATCATCATCATCATTATCAGAATGGTGTCGTTCCTTTCGAATCTGTCCTACGTGCTCGACCAATTTTTCTCGATTAATTAAATAATCGAACTCTCTCGGCTTACTATTACTAACGTGTCTCTCTCTCTCTCTCTCTCTCTGTCTCTCTCTCTCTCTGCCGATATTTATTTAAATAAAATTTAGAAAAATAAAACGAGTATACACAACACAAAAAGAGAGAGAGATTCCCTCTGGTTCACTCGACCACACCGAACGGGTATATCTGAGGTAATAATAATAAAATAATAATAATATAGTAATAATAAAACAATAATAATGCGAATGAAAATGCATTAAAAAAAAAAAAAAAAAGGAACAAAGGAGCGGGGAAAGAAAAATAGGAAAAGTTTCGATTCGTAAAAATGGCAAGAATAAAAAAGAGTTATAAATATAAAAAGGTTGATAAGCAAAAAAAAAAATAAATAAATAATATTAATAATAAATGAGAAAAAAATGTGTGGACATGAAAGATGGACATGTCGAGTTGAATAAATATTGAAATACCGTTAAAGTTATATATAAAAATATTAACTAAGTAATTCGCTTGCTGTGTGTGATCATTAACGCATCCAATCACTGTGCATTTTTAGTAGAAACACACACGAACGACGACACTCTTTTATCGAATTAATCCTGCGAATGAATTTGTTCTAGCGACTCTTTGAAACACACACACACACACAGACACACACATATATATTATAATACACTACATATTACAGAAACAAACAAACGAACAAACAAAAATATCATTCAACACTATAAGAAAAATGATGAAAATTACACGCATAAAATAATCAACAAACCCCCACCACCACATGGTGGAGAATTATTGTCGCCCCGAAGTGGTGGCACCAATTTTCTTTAATAATAACGTGTCAATAATCGAATATTTAAAAAACAATTTTCACTTCTCGAACGACGAGATGATGATTTCCGCTGCTATTTGTGTACATTTTTCCGAAAAAAAAAGTAAAAAAAAGAAACCGAAAGCGAAATTAATCTTGAGCTAAACGATATAGGAAATAGAAAAGAAGGAAAAAAATAGAAAGAACAAATAAAACAAATATGTTAAATAATTAAAAAGTATCGTTTAACAGCACAACCAACCAACAGGAAGACCGATCCATACAACCAACAAAAAAGAATATCTTAACAAAAAATAATATATATATATATATATATAGATAAAAATATTTCATCGTCGTGTTTGTTTAAAGAACAAAATAATTAAAAGAAGAAGAAAAAATATATTAAATGAATGATAAAGAAATTCAAAGACTATGCTCGTAACTGCTGCGTTCATTCTCGTATACCGTTATGTAAATCCAAAAAAAAAAAAAAAGAAGAATAACAACAAAAATAAATAAACTCGGTTAGCGGTACCTGTATTCGTGCGGTGAGAAA